AGGCCGCTCATGCTTGCAGCTACGGAGGTCTGCGCATATCTACCGACAAGATTTAACCGCCAGCATTGCAGTGCGAACACTCTTGATCGTGTCTTCTTGGGGGTGCCCTCGGGATTCATGCTCGAGATTGACGCTGCGATGGAAGTTCATGTTGACCCAAGCCAAATGTCCGACGCTCGTTTGAGCGATCACGCGTTGGTTTCGCTTTCGTTTTAGAAGCGTGGCGTGGGTCAGCACAGTGAGCTCCGCATTCCTGATTTTATTTTCCAAGTTCCGCGCTATCGCGCGAAGTTATCCGCCCTCGTCTCAGCTGTTGATATCTCACATGTCCCAGCCGTTGCGCGCTGGAACTATATGAAGCAATATATGTGGGAAGCCGTCCGTGAGACCCGCAATGGGCTCCAGGGCCTCCTTTTAGTCTCGCAGGGCCCCAATGCCTTAGAGGCTCGTCTGGTCACCCTAAGAGCCATCGCGAGGGCCATTTGGAGGCGAGATCTTCGGGTCGGGGCTACCCTGCAGGCTACCACCCTTCTTGGGGCTCGCTTCCTCTCTCTCTCTCTCTCTCTCTCTCTCTCTCTCTCTCTCTCTCTCTCTCTCTCTCTCTCTCGGCCACCTCCCTCACCCTCCTTGAACCCGATCAGTTCCGTGCCTTCTTTCGAGGCACCAGCGCTGCCGCGCTTGAACGCCGCCAATCACGAGCTGCCACCTTTGCTCAGCAAGCTGCCGCGTCAGGTGATCGGCTTTCTGCGGACGCTGCGCGTCGCCTCCAGCGTTCGCTACAGCGTAAGGCTCGACTCTGGCGCCCGAAAGGCAGCTCGCTTGTCCTGCAGGGCGTGCGTCCAGAGACGCTTGCACCTGCTCCTCAAGCGGCAGAAGGCCCGGTTTGCCCGCCCACCACCGCTCCACCAGTGGCGCGCTCTGCTGAAATATCAGCGCTGCGCTATCCAGCCACTGGGGGGAGGTGTTCAAGGCCAAAGGTGTGGATCCTGTCAGGCTTCGTTCTTACCTAGATGGCCTCGGGCCCCCAAAGGATGGCCCCGGCTTCGAGGGTCTCCCCGTGCCGTCGCGTGCCAGCCTTGAGAAGGCCATGTCACGCGTTCGGATCTCTGCCCCAGGGCCTGATGGGTCCACTTACCGCGCCTGGGCCGCGATCCCAGAGCAGCTGGATGTCTTGCACGACCTTGCACTCCACCTCTTTCAAGGAGACTATGTGCCGCACGCTCTGAATGATTCTGTGTTCGCCTTCCTTCCGAAGGGATCGTTGCCAGATGATCACTTCGATTGCGTTAGGCAAGCTGGCAAAGCACGCCCGCTGTCTCTACGCAATGCTGAGACCAAAATAATTGCTAGTGCGGCTAATATCGTGCTGCGCCAAGCGTTTGCCCAAAAAAGTGCACCACAATCAGAGAGGATTTGTTATCGGTGGGAATTTCGCTCGGAAAATCACATTTATGGATGCCGCTGCAAGAGCCCCCAGCCTGTCGGAGAGTGCTGAGCAGAAATGGCTTTGCTTTGTGTCGTTTGATATAGCTGCCGCGTTCCCATCGGTAGGGCACCAGTGGCCCTTCGAGATTCTCCGCCGTCACAGAGCCCCCCACTGGGTTCCTCAATCCCCTTCGCTCCCTCTACTTCTGCCCGCGGGGATTTGGGCGGTTCGGAGGCGAATTGCGTTACCTTTTCCACCTGGGCAGCGGCGTCCTCCAGGGATGCCCTCTCTCGGTTTCTGTCTGGGCGCTCATCTTTGATCCGGCGATCCGTCTGCTCTCCCAAGCTGTCGAGCACCCTCCAGAGTGTCAGGCTCCAGGCCAGGTTGGTGGCTGTGCTGATGACGTGGGAGCGGTTCTCCCGCAGCTTTGCATTTTGAAAGCCATGCTACCACATTTTAACGATGTTGCCGAGCTTGCCTTCTTGAGATTGCAACCCGCTAAGTGCTGCATTGTCCCTCTTTGGACCTCGCGCACCCAGCCCCTCATCCAGAGCATCCGAGAGTGGCTTGCCAGCGAACTGCCTGGGTGTCTGGAATTCGATATCCAGGGGTCGGCGGCGCACCTGGGGGCGCAGTTTGGGCTTGAGGGGATCTCGGGCTCCAGTGGCACCAGGCTGAGCAGAAATGGTGGCACCGTACGATTGAAGTGCCATCCTCTCGTGCTGCGCCCGCGCTGTTGCCCTTCCAATATAACGTGTATGCTGTCAGCGCGCTCGGATAGATTGCCAAATTCTTTCTCATGTCTCCCAATGCCATCGCGCGCGAAGGCCTTGCTTTGCACGAGCTTCTCCGTCTCCCCCCCAATTCCTTCGCCTTGCCTGACTTGCTCTCGGCGTCGTGGATTGGCACGTCACCCCGCTCGCCTGTTGAGTTGGGCATAGCCTCAGCCTGGAGAATGGCGTCGCACACGGTCACGGACTGGGCTGGCGCCTACGAGGAGCTCCAGCAGGCAGCCGACGCCGCCTGCGGCACCCCTGCTCTCTCGGCCCCGCGCTGGGCGATGGGAGCGCGGCGCGCGCCGTGCTGGAGGCGCGCGGGAGCCATCGTCCAATTATTTCAATGTCATTCCTTTCTCTCCTCTTCTCCTTCGGTCGTTGTCAGGCGTCGTGGCTCCTCTCTCCGCTCCACCCATCCCTTATCTCTGAGAGCCTGGGAGGCGGCCAAGGCGGGGGGAAGAGCTGAGGCGAGAGCGGCTGCTGCGGACCAACGCAAGCCGAAAATCCAGCGTGTGATCGGTTCGGCGGTGTCGTGTGTTGTGTACCCCGAGCGATTTCACCGAACGCTCAGCCGCCGTCTTGAAGCTTGGGATATCCCCCCCCCCCCGCCCGACCTCGAGGCTCGTTGGTGCCTTCTGCGTGCTGAACTCTCCCGAGTCTGCCCCTCGTGAAGGTGGAAATCCCTGGCAGGTGGCTGGACCACCTCGTCTCGGATGCACGTTTCTCGGCACTCGCGAGATTGCATTTTTGGATGCGGAGGCTCCGACAACATCAGCCACTACTTCCGTTGCCCACGACTGAGGCACCACGTCGCCATGAGCTGGATGCGACTCGTCTTTCCTGTGGAGCCTCTGCTCTGGCTCGGCCTCGGGAGCCCCTCGGATTACGGAACGGATGATTGTGAGCTGAGTCGAACCCAAACGATTGAGGCTACCGCCCTAGCGTTCCACATGTATCACAAAGCCAACTATTCCGTGTTTCCTGAGGCACACCTCACATATACGGAAGCCGAGCGGATTGCTGGGGCTGCGCGTTTGGCGCTTCACGTCTAGTGCGGTTATCGGGAGCCCGCCCTCAGGGTACGTTCGCTCCTCCTCCTCCTCCTCCTCCTCCTCCTCCTCCTCCTCCTCCTCCTCCTCCTCCTCCTCCTCCTCCTCCTCTTCCTCCTCCAGCGCCCGCGTGCTCGGTGCGCTTCGTGATCAGGTTCAAGTTCACGTGGCTCGTGGTCTCTTCGGCGGCCTCCCGCGCGGACTGGCTCCCAGGATCGGTTCTCGGAGTCCCGTGGCCTGGACTGGCCCGTGGTCCATCTCGGTGCCCCGTGGCCCACCCCGGTGCCCATTCCTGTGCCCGCGCTCTCGCCCCAGCGTGGACCACTTCTCTGGATCCCGCAGGCCCCGCCAGTCCAGCAGGCGTGGCAGGTTTCGCAGGCTCCACAAGTGCCGCAAGTCCTACAGGTCGCACAGCTCCCACGGGTCCCACATATCCCGCAGGTGTCGCAGAGGCACCACGGGTCTGACAGGTTCCACATTTCCCACTGGTCCCACAGGTGTCGCAGGTGTCGCAGGCCCCACAGGTCCCGTGATCCCGGTGCCCGCGTATGGGACGATGGTCCGCGCTTGCTGGGCTAACTGGCTAGGGGGGAGGTCGGGGGCACATTGGAGTTGCAGTGCGTGGCCTGCGGGCCAGACATTCTCGGGCCTCGCGGCCTTCTCGTGCCCTTCCTCTTGGCTGTCTGCGTCCACCTCCTCTTGCGTAACCGTGTTGGTTCAAGTCATCTTTGCTGAAGGTTCAAGCTTAAAAAAGGGTTGCGCGGTCAATTCTAGACGCTTCGCGTATCCCCACCAGCCTGCCCAGAAACCATGTCCAGGCGAGTTGAGGTGATCAGGGAAATGCTGGAGCAAAGAGGCGGACGGCCGAACCGTGCGAAGGAGGGAGGGGGAGAAGATGAATAGGATGGAAGAGGAGCGCGATAAGGAAGGAGGAGCGGGAGGAGGAGGAGGAGGAGGAGGGCAAGCAAAAGGGCTTGAGGTCTCTTGGATGCCTCTCGGAGCCTCTTGGGATATCTCTTGGGCGCTTCTTGGAGGCCTCTTGGGACGTCTTGGGGGTCTCTCGGCGATCCCGGGGGGCTCTTGGCCATATTGGGTGCCTCGGGGGGGCCTCTTGGGGCCGCTTGGGGTCCTCTTGGGGGCCTTCTGGGGGCCTCTTGGGGCCATCTTGGAGCCATCTTGGGGCCATCTTGGGGCCCCTTGGGGCCTCCTGGGCGCCTCTTGGGGCCATCTTGGAGGAGATCGATCAAAGAAGGGGAGAGCTTTAATTAGCTTTGCCCCTCGGGAGTCCCAAAAATCACCTCTTGGGCCCCTCTTGGAGCACTCTGGGAGCGCCCTTGGGGCCGTCTTGGGGCTCTCTGGGGCCTCTTGGGGCCCTCCTGGGCCCTCTTGGAGCTGCCTGGAGGCGCCGGATGGCCATCGGAAGCGAAAAGGCGAGAAGGCAATCGTCATTGATATTCCATCGGTTTTTTAAGGAGTTTGGCTTCTTGGCGGCCTCCTGGGGAGGCTCCGTGGCCGCTCGGAGCCGTCTTGAAGCGGTCTTGGGGCCTCTTGGAGAATCTTGGAAGCCATCTTGACGCGCCTTGGGATATCTTGGGCTATCTTGGAGGTCATCTTGGGCTCTCAGACCCTCTTGGAGCGATCTTGGGCGATCTTAGACGCTTCAACGGCCCGCGAAACGCTGCGTCCAGGTCCAGGAGAGCGGGTAAGGGAATGGGATAAACCCCTCCCCGAAGGGGAAGAGGGAGGGGTGGAAGAGGAAGCGCCATAAACCACCTACGCCCAGAGGGCTGGTGGGATTCCACTGCTCTTTGCGATTGCGTGCAGGAGACACTGTTCACATGGTGCAGAGGAACCTGGCTGAGGTGCTGGGATTGCGCACGACCGCTTCGCTTCATTGGGAGCCGCATGCGATGGTTGGGTTGAGCTCCATTTTTCTCTTGGTGCCTGCCGTGGCGTTTGTGTCTGTTGCGCGTTGCATTACTCGCTGCGCGCCCAAACCCTATAGCGCCAGCACCGGATTGCAGTTATGTTTGTACGTCGCTCTTGCACTGCTATTCACTTTCTGTTGTTTAACGTGCTTCCTGGCAGATTATGCCTACATCCGTCGTGGCCACCGCTCTTATTATGGAAAGGTCGATATCCGGCTCGCAACCTTGACTTTCTTCGTGTGCATCTTGGACTTCGGGCTCCGGGCGTCGCCTTTGGAAACAGCCATACTTGTGTGCATTGCCGTGTGCGCCTTCGGCTGCTCGGGCCTCTCCGCCTCTACGGACCAGTGGGTAGTTCGGCACTCGCTCTGGCATGTCGTCGCTGCCGCGGACGGGACCTACGGCGCTCTGCGACTGCCGCCCGAGGGTGCGCTGGTCGGCGCGCACGTGTGGCTGGACGTGCTCACCGTGGGCTGCCTTTATGCATGTGCCACGCTGGCCGTTGTCGTCGCATTTCGATTCGCATTGTCCGAATCGAGCCGCGGGCATCTCTGGGACAGCGGCGCCAAGTATGCGGATTGGCGGCAGGTGTGGCCGCCAGGTGATGCCCTGTGTCCGCTGAGCGCTCCGGTTGAGGGCGCGAGTGAGGCAGTGTAGAGCCGCGACCTTCTGCAGAGCAGGGCGATCGCAACGTGCAAGAATTCAAGCAGCGACGCCTCGATCGCGTGACCTCTGATCATCCGTGGGGGGAGAGACAGGAGGGGCCAGGCTCGCGGCCGTTACGATAGGATCGGCTGTGATTGCCCAGCCAGCGAGGCACTAAAAATAAGGATTCATGTCTTCAGACCAGCAAGCGGTGGCATCCGCAGACAGATTGGGGTTGATCCAGCGGCGTCCGTGCACCATGGTCGACCCAAAGCCACGGGTTGGTCAATCGTGTTTCGCATGCGGTTTGCTTGGGACAGCAAGCCCAGGAGCGACACAAAGATCGAAGGAATGCGGCTCGAATGTACGGCCAAGCCCAGCTCAAAGCAATGCGGCTCTTGGGGCGATAGCTCGGACGTTGCGAAACCTCAGGAGATCGATGCCCTGGGCAGGAGGGGGCCGTTTGTCTTCGCCCGCGATCGTCTTCGCCGCGATCGTTTTCGCCTCAGTCGATTTGGTCGTCTTCGCCCTGTCGTCTTCTTCTTGCCGTATTTGTCCAGTCGTCTTCGCCTGGTCGTCTTCGCCCAGCCGTCACCACCCGCCCTCGATCGTATTCGCCAGGTCGTGTTCACCCAGCCGTTTTCACACGGTCGTCTTCGCCTGCCGTCCGCTTGACTTGCTAAGGTCTGCTCCTGCGACCCGCCCGTTAGGCCGCCCGCCACGCACGCCCGTTTGTGTTCGCGCTTGCTTACAAGCCTGCCTGTCCGCTTTAATGCCCCGCCGGTCCGCCCGATCCCCACCTGAAGAGTCTGTCTCCGCGACCTGCATGTTCGGTGTCCGCCCGCTCGCTTGCACGCAAGCGCGGCCGCTCGCTGGCATGTCTCGCGCGACCCGCACGCTAGGGCTCGCCCGCCAGAGTCGCTCGGACAGGGTCCGTCCGCCCGGTGCGCCCGTTGGGGTCCGCCGCTTGGTCGGCGAAAGTGACCACGGGCAGAGATCACCGCCAGCAAAGAGCCACCAGCGAAGACGACCCAGGCGAAGATGACCGTTGGCGGAGACGACCCTGGCGATGACGACCGGGGCCCATCACCACAACTCAACACAACGTCGTTAGTGCATTAGGGCACCACGTCAACATTGACGCCGAATGGCTACCCCAGCGCAGGAGCAACAGCATCAGGTCGAGGACTTATCCCCGTCGCGAGTCTCAGGGTCACCGCTTGCACGACATGGACACGAAACACGAAGCATAATGTCCGGTCAGGACTGACATCAAAGCTTATTCCACAGCCTCCGACTTGAACAAACGTTAGTTTCGTGGTGGTCTGGATGCGAAAGCATTGCTGAACACATAATTTCCGCGCCACGGGCAAACCCAGGCCGCATTCGTAACAACGTCGCCTACGCATTCCCAAGACAGTGCTTGCACTGAGGGACCCTTTACTTGGCCTCTCTGGAGTTGGGTTTGATTGTTGCCCACGACGTCACCGCACCCAGGCCCTGTTTTTCGCACGTCGCCGCCGTCGCCGCCGCGTGGGTCCCTCGGGCAATTTCCAAGGACCGACCACAACGCTGATTAGCTTGGTTTGGGCCCTTGCTATGTTTTCGTTCCGTTGTTCGTTGTTGTTTCGTTCCGTTGTTCGTTGTTGTTTCGAACGCCCCGCATCGTCGTTAGT